TCTGATATTGCCTACAACTCTCATATTTGACGTTTCTTAGTATCTCTTCAAACAGGTGAGATAGGTGTGGGTGCAAAATATACACAATCACCCGGTACATATTTTGGGGCAAATAATTAGTCATAACACTTTCATATATTTACACAACCGTAAACGGTTTATATTGGTACTGTTTTTAACTTCCAGTATCATTTCTACCCGAGACTCGGGTGGAAATGTCCATATTTTCCCCTTTTTTCGATGAATCGCAACTATTAGTTTACCCCATCAAGAGACGATTGTTATGATGTTCTAGGCTGTTATATGTTGTAGGCTGACTAAGATTTTTAACTTTTGGCAACACCTGTAACGCTAGAGGATTTAAATGGCGTCTTTTTTTAAATCATGAGCCCGAAGGGCGAGAGTGTTTTCAATCTTGAGCCCACAGGGCAACAAAGAAACGCCATTTTGTATCGACTTTTAAAGAAAACAAGGCTTACTTTGAAATTTCAATTTTTTGACGTTTTTTGTATCATAAGCAGTATTGCCATATGTTTTTTCCAAATCTCGAATCCCGAAGGGCCGGAGTTATACGAGCCCGTTCATTGTCAACTGATTTCAATACTCCGGCCCTTCGGGCTCGTAATCTTTGAAACATAAAGACGCCATTTTGTATCGACTGTCAAAGAAAACAAGGCCTACTTTGAAATTTAAATTTTTTGACGTTTGTTGTATCATGAGCAGTGTTGGCATATGTTTTTTTCAAATCTCGATCCTGAAAGGCCGGTGTTATTTTAATTACGTTACGACCCCGAAGGGCCGAGGTTATACGAGCTCGAAGGGCCGAAGTTATACGAGCCCGTTCATTGTCAACTGATTTTAATACTCCGGCCCTTCGGGCTCGTAATCTTTGAAACAAAAAGACGCCATTTTTTATCGACTGTCAAAGAAAACAAGGCCTACTTTGAAATTTCAATTTTTTGACGTTTGTTGTATCACGAGCAGTGTTGGCATATGTTTTTTTCAAATCTCGAGCCTGAAAGGCCGGTGTTATTTAAATTACGTTACGATCCCGAAGGGCCGAGGTTATACAAGCCCGAAGGGCCAGAGTTATACTTTATTTTGTAGGATTTTATAAACTATCATCAGAGAAAATTTTCGATTGTTCCCGGTTCAAGCGCCTGGAACAATTACTCAATTTTTTTTTTTTACAACTGACAAGCCTACATACAATAGCCGCGTTCACCAGATACAAACGTTGGTAAACGGTTTGCGATTGTTCTGCTGAACGCTACGTTGAATTTTTGTTGAAACCAAACATGTTTTGCAAACGGTCGCCATTTTTGCAAGCATAATTTAAGAGTGTTTATACTTTTCAACACTGTGTTTTGTGTGGTGACCTGTCATTCAGAGGGTGACGTTCTATCATTGAAAAGTTGAATCGTTCAGCAGAACCAAGAGTTTACCCAACATATTCTGTTGGTATTTGTAAACTGTTTACAATCCGTTTTAGTTCTGGTGAACGTAGCCAATGTTAGAACTCTTGACAATTGACGAGTTAATCTTCAGGGCCACCTACGTTTCTTATGACTTTTTTTTGTCAATTGACACTGACTGCTTTGTGATTCAGATTGAGGCGTATACAAAAGCAACGTTACCACATTTTAACGGTAATTTTGGGGCATTTGTATCTGTAAATGTAAAACTTTGACAAATGGCAATTGACATCACAGGGTTGCCAGATTCTAACTTTGAAAAAGGAGGACAGTGGACAGAAAAAAAACCAATATAGGTACCCCCTGCGTGGGGTACATAAGTAAAGAATTGCATTTTGCTATGTCAATGATTTCGTGTGCTTCTCCATACATTTTGGTGTTTTTTTCATGGGTTGTAGGACAGTAAAGGATGTGTGAATAAAACTATTTCCTTTCGCAACGTTTCGTGCCTTTATTGATACTTTATCAAGCTCTAAAAGAAACAGGAAAAGTCAGTTCAGCAAACAAATCTCCTTACAAGATTTCCCTAAACTTACCAAGAACAGTTTACATCCCACAGAACAGACCGAATCTCTACGGAGATTGCTATAATTTTGGTTGATTTGTATAGCTTTTGGTTCTCAACACAACTCCATGTGAACAATAAAAAGAGAATTTGAGTTGCAACTGGATCAAGGATTTACTAATAAAAAAAAGCAAATTCAACAATATACAATACAATTTATACATACATACTAATTTATTTGGTAGTAATTTGAAAATCAACTATTAAAATAAAATTAGCAGAATAAGGTATCAGTTAAAAAAAAAAAAAACAATTTATTATTGTTATTTCTCTTTTGCCCTTTTTGTGAATCGCCGAGCAAGTATCTCAAACAATTCTATTCCCTGATATAATATGTTGGTGAGGCCTTCATTTACCTGTTTCAATCAAAACCCTAATTTGAGTAAGGCTTAATCTTCAGTATAATTGGAAACAGAAATAGGCACTACATATGGACATCATTAATCCAGTCATTAAGTGCGATGTAACCAAAATTCAAACAATCTTCAACAGTATTGTGGTATTTCCTAATTGCATTGCTATTCCACAAGTCAAAAAATCTAATTATTTATTAATTAGGACAATGATATTTGGAGGTCCTTATATCGGAGATAACATACATTAAATTAATAGTCCCCAGTACATCGACCTTAAAATTTTGTAACTCATGTACACGCCCAACTTCCTGAGCGGCTTTATAACACCAAGTCGGACAATATTTTTCATGTCTCCACCCTGGACGATGGGACATTGCTGCGCTAGCTCTTCGTGAAGTTGTTGTTCTGACGTCCCTAAGGAAGTTGAAACATGTACGTGTAGTTTCAATGCCAATCGACTGCTTTTTACATTACATTAACGATATCACATTTGTCGGACAAAAACCATGTGGCTTTGGGGAAGGTCCGACACCCCAAACATGTCGCTGTGGCGTCCCTAAGGAAGTTGATACATGTACGTGTAGTTTTAAAACCAAACGACTGTTTTTTGTATTACATTAACGGTATCATATATGTCGGACAAAAATCTCGTGGCTTCGGGGGGGTCCGACGCTCTCAACATGTCGCTGTGGCGTCCCTAAGGAAGTTGATACATGTACCTGTGTTTTTAATACCAATCGACAGTTTTTTATATTACATTAACGATATTACATTTGTCGGACAAGAAATTTGGGACAATCAATGAAAAAATTAAAATTAGTTTGCCTTAACGCAACGTGCATATTAGTCAGTTTATTATTTACCTACTTTATCAAATGTGGGGCCCTGTGTCATATTCCCTGATCTGTTTTTTTGATAGTTCTCCGAGTATTTACGGAAATTATTTAGTGAACGGTCATTCAAAATCACGCGTTTGAGAAAGAATGGATATTCAGTCGTGTTTTTTGTGCAATCTCAGGAGTGAAGATCCTGAATTTCGGCAGAAATTAATCAGAAGGACTTTTTTTGTCCGACTCACTTTAATACTCATTTTATTTGCCCGACATTTACTACACATGCTTTAAAATTACATTGTTATTCATAATTATTTTTGTCGGACATACATGTATCAACTTCCTTAGGGACGCCACGGCGACATGTTGAGGACGTCGGACCCCCCCAAAGCCACGTGATTTTTGTCCGACCTATGTGATATCAATAATGTAACATAGAAAACAGTCGATTGGCATCAAAACCACACGTACATGTATCAACTTTCTCAGGGACGCCACAGCGACATGTTGAGGGCGTCGGACCTTCCCCAAAGCCACATGGTTTTTGTCCGACAAATGTGATATCGTCAATGTAATATAAAAAACAGTCTATTGGCATTGCAACTACACGTACATGTATCAACTTCCTTAGGGACGTCAGAACGACAACTTCACGAAGAGCTAGCTCGGCAATGTCCCATCGCCCAGGGTGGAGATATGAAAAATATTGTCCGATGTGGTGTTATGAAGCCGCTCAGGAAGTTTGGCGTGTACAAAATTTTAGGGTCGATGTACTGGGGACTATAATGTTTGGGAATTCATAATAGACACATTTTTTTGGTGTTTGCTCTTAGGCCATTTATATTCGATTATTATATTGCATTTTTTTTTTCACACGAATTTGAAAGATTTTTAGATTTTTAGGATTTCAGGTGATTTTGGAGCATTTTAGGGGATTTTGAAGGGTTCCTAAAGGATTTTTGGGGATTCCAGAGGATTTTTGGAAATCTTAAAGGAAATATTTTTTTAGGAATTTTAATGATTTTATAAGGGATTTTTTTTTGTTCTAATAAAATTTTGTGAGATTTTGTAGGATTTTATGCGATTTTAAGTAATTTTAAAGGATTTTCTGAGATTTTGTTAAATTTTTAAAGATTTTTAGGGATTTCAAGTAGACCTTACGAGTTTTTCTGGGATTTTCACCAACTTGTACACGGATTTTAACCAATTAACTGTTCCGAGGTTTAGCTTAGGCCTTGAAATATATATACAGATTTTAAATTTTTATTGAATTTGTAGGATTTTGAGGATTTTGAAAATCTTCACACGATTTTACAGAAGTTTAGAAGATTTTTAGATTTTTAAGATTTTAGCTCATTTTGGTGATTTTGTTAAATTTTTAGGGATTTTAAAGATTTTTAACAATTTTAAGTAGATCTTCTAGGACTTTGACCAGTTAACCGACCCTCGGATCTCTTTGAGGGTCTATGACAAAAATGTCAAAAAAAATCGCTTTCAAGAAATTCTTTCGATTTTGAGCAATTTTGGGCAAAACTATACATATTTTTTCCCCAATTATTGTAGGTATTTTTCTATAGAAAACACCATAGATAAATCCCCAAAATGACATTGAACTAATTCATCGAAAACCACAAACATATATTTGTTATTCTTTTCGATTTCCTGGCAAATATGTCAACAAGAAACCAAAAATCACGCCTGTGGGAAATAATGCAAGATATCAGGATGCAGCTATCCCCACTAAGAATATTCATGCAAAATGCAATTGGGGGGTCAATAGAAGATAATATATAAATACCAATTTGGTTGGGAATTGTTTCATTAGTTTGTGAATAGATTTTTTGGTACCTAGTGAGTTTTGAAAAAAATGAATGGGAGAGACGCTGCTGCCCGCCAACTTGAGGAGTGGCAAAAGAAAAATGAGGTAAGATTTTTTCAAATCTCAATATATTTTCTCCATTGAGCAACAGGATTTATTTATTTTTTGAATTGACAATACTTAGTAAATTGTTAATCAGGTGACGCACTTTAAAACATATTATTTATCTAAATTAGTCTTTAGAATACTTTAGTTTTTGATTAAAACATTTAAGTAATGTGAAAAATAATTAAAAAGTAGCGGCTCATGATGGCTTATCAAACAAGGAAAATTTGACATTTTTATTTCTTCTGAAACTTCTATAGGAACATTTTCTTGAATTGTCAAACTTTCCAGAATCTTTTCGAAACTTTTCAGAATTTTCCATATTTGAGATTTTTCTCTATTTTTTAGACAATTCATTCTGAACTTAAAGAAGCAAATCCATGAAAGAAAATTTGAAAAGTCCACTAAAATGTTCAAAAATCGTTTTCTTAAACGTAGTATATTTCATTCAATTACCATAATTCAGGTATAGTCTATTTTTTGTTTATAATGACTGGTTTATACTTCCAAAATTAAGAATTAAACTAAACTAAGAAATAAATTGAAAATTAAATTAAACTGAACTATAAAAATGCAGTTTATACCTAAAATTAAGAATTAAGGATTTTCTGAATTAGCTAGCTCTTTATGTAATCACAAATGACAGAAAAGAACATAGAAATAAACAAAAACCAGCTAAATAGAACGATCTCCTTAATTCTTAATTCTTAGTTGAAAGTTAGCCAACTTTCAATTTAATTTAATTTAGTTTAATTTTTTAATTTGAGGTATAAACGACAGCATCAAATTATGGACGTTTAACATTTAAATTTTTAGTTTAGTTTAATTTTCAATTTAGTTTAATTCTTAATTCAGAAGTATAAACCAGGCATAATGACACCTTATTTATAGAAAATTGAGCCGCACTGATTTTTTGGATTTGATTGAGGATGATCAATTATTGCTGGGCAAATAACTACATGAAAATAAGTTTTTGTTGTTAAAGATTTGGCAGCAGTGGGACTTCCCAAACTTATAAAGGCTGCAAATGAATTTTTGAAACTATCAGAAACTTTTCATGAACTGTTAAAAAGTCTTTCAGTGTTTTAGAATTGTACATACAATGAACTTTTGTAAGCTTTACCTTTCAAGAAAATTAACTTATTTACATTTACCTTGAGATCAAAATGTTTGTCAATGTTGTTATGTTCTCAGTTTTGGTAAATACTTGGATAAATAGTTAAACATACCTATAGTACTCTCAATAATTCCTTTTTATTTTTAGGTTCATCCAACTTTGAAATTGCTTTTACATACTCAGTGTCTGGTCTTACACCTTCTGCTGAGAAAACCTGGCCAATGTAGTTGACTTCCTTTACTTTATATTGAACTTTTGATTTATTGAATTTTACACCAAACTTCTCAGCCCTAATCATAACCTCCCTAAGAATTCTATCATGTTCCTCTTCTGTACTTCCTGCTATGATAATATCGTCAAAATAAATACCTATATATCTTTAAAAATACTTTGATTCATTCTCTGAAAAACCTCCGGACTCACATTCAAACCAAAAGGCAAACTATTAAAACAATATTTTCCAAGGGGTGTTATAAAGGTACACAACTTTCTGCTTTAACTGTCAAGAGGAACATGATAAAACCCTTCTTTCAAATCCAAAACAGTAAATATTTTTTTTATTTTTTAACTTTTGTGCCAACTCATCAACAGTTGGTATTGGAAACTGATCGAAACAAACCCATTTATTCAAGCGCACAGGATCCAAACAAATAGTGAATATCAGAGATTATGACTTTCATTTTATTAAATTTTTTGGAGTGATCTTTTGTCCATATCCATTCAACATTATTTTTCATGAGAACGCGAAATGGAGATAGTAGGTCTGAAAGTTTTGGTAAATTCTTGAATAAATAGTTAAACATACCTAGTACTCTTAATAATTCCTTTTAATTTTTATGTTCATCCAACATTAAAACTGCTTTTACATACTCAGTGTCTGGTCTTACACCTTCTGTTGAGAAACACTGGCCAATGTAATTGAATTCCTTTACTTTATATTGAACTTTCGATTTATTGAATTTTACACCAAACTTCTAAGCCCTAATCATAACCTCCCTAAGAATTCTATCATGTTCCTCTTCTGTACTTCCTGCTATGATAATATCATCAAAATAAATACCTATGGGTAGATCTCCAAATATGTTTTGATTCATTCTCTGAAAAACCTCCAGACTCACATTCAAACCAAAAGGAAAACTATTGAAACAATATTTTCCAAAGAGTGTTATAAAGGTACGGAACTTTCTGCTTTGACTGTCAAGAGGAACATGATAAAACCCTTCTTTCAAATCCAAAACAGTAAATATGATTTTATTTTTCAACTTTTGTGCCAGCTCATCAACAGTTGGTATTGGAAACTGATCCTTACAAACCCATTTATTGAAGTACACAGGATCCAAACAACAATAATTTTCTGTTCTACTAAGGTTTCCAGGTTCTTATTACTTCTGACACCATGTTACGTTCTCAATATTGATAGTTTTCGTGCTCAATGAAGAATATTAAAGTCTGTTTTTTTTTTAAAGATAATTCCCCAAGTCAAAAATTTAGTAACTATGTTGGCAACACAAGCCTTTTCTAGATAAAAATTTGAAAGCATTGACAATTTTACATTGTATTGCCAACATAATGTCACTTTGACTTTTTTCTATTTTGGTGTCATATCGAAGTCTTTTCGACACTAAAAGTAGTTTCGAAAAGAAGCTCTTTTTTTTACACTCCTTTTTTACTTATCGGCGGTTGGAAACACTGGCTGACTGATGGCCATCGAACTGTCATTCGCGATAAAAAATAATAGAAGATTTCTATATTTGGCATGTAGTGTTGCCAACCTAAACATATGAAATCAGGAAATATGAGAATAAAATTTCCAAGAAAAGTTTGTTTTTTTCAATTAAACAATACCAAAATAGAAAAAATAGTATAAAATATTCGTTTCATAAGACATTTAATCTACTTCGGTGTCATTATGACACATTTAGCATTGTCATTTGAATGTCATTAAGTCCTTCATAATAGCACTAGTGCGTTTAAGAATTCATAAAAACACCCAAATTATGAAATAGAAAATATACAAAAAGAAAGCTAGTTACCAGAAGAACCTTTTCATTGATGCTGTCTCGATATTCGAGGGGACACATTCGAACTAAGAATCACCAATATTAACATTATTTTCCACTATAAAACTGAATTTATGGCACAAAAATTGACTCCAATATTGAAGCTGCCAAAGTCAAAGTTCTAAAAATCAACAAGCAGGTTCCCGACTAGTACAGACACCTGCTAAATTTTCAATTTTAATTTGAAAAGTTTTTGCTATTTCAAGGCAAATCAAATTTATTTGGACCATCGTAGATTAAATTTTGAATGATACACGTTCGATATGAACTTTAATAATGATCTTCATATCGAACTAGTATCATTAATAACTATTATCGCACTCGCTCTTTAGAAAACTCGCCTCCGGCTCGTTTTCTAATATAGGTGCGATAAAATGACGTCTTATGAAACTTGTATTTTAATGTACTATTATCTTTAAAAAAAAAACACATTGTAGTTATTTTATTAAACGTGTTTATTAATTAACAAGTCTACAATGACGCACCGTTCTAACTGTCATAACCTAAAATACAAAAAGTGGTGAGAAAAAGGATAAAGTTTCCAAATAGGTCTGATCCACTCAACGACATCTAGTGGCATAAGTATCAATTATTAGGATGATTCCTCATAATAATTGATACCTCTATGGTTTATGTTAAAAATGTAAACTCATGTAAAAATTAAAGAGCACCTACAAAATGATTATTAGTGTTGCCTCATACTTAATCGTGCCTCATGCAAGTTTTTTGTTTTAAGTTTAGTCACCACTAAACATTTTTAACGTAGGATATAGAAAATCGAAAGTGTAGTACACCGCAAAACTCCCTAACGCGATGTGGAGAATGAAAAAAGAGAATCGCGATCCACCAGTATGGCGCATCGGAGCAAATTGCTGTTTCAGGAATCTTTCGCGGTTATTCCGAGAAATAGCTGTGGCTGTGATGGTACTGTTTTCTTTGTGGACTCGTTATAAAACAGCTATTAAAAAAAACTCATCAGTACAGGGAAATAAAAACGGTTTCTTATCGGATAGGAAAGGCCGATGGACAAAAAGGGCGTGTATGGCATATAATAGTCGAAAGAAGAAACTATTTTGTGCGAACAAAGGAAATAACATTTCCTTTGGAGACTTTAATTGCATTTAAAAAAAAAAGCTTTTTCAATTAGCTGTTGGCTTTTTTCAGGATTTTGCTTTAGGAGATAATGACTGAAAAAGGGCGACAGTGCCTCAGGGACAACTTGTTTATTAGCACACAAGTTTCTTGATTCTTGATGAATGTTAAGATTTTGTTGTTTTACTCATAGCAATTAAAAAATTAGTAATCTCAATGTTTGTGCTGCAGAGCTTATTTAACTGAATTGCAAAAGAAAAGTTATTTTGTTAATTTTTTATACAGATGGTGTAAATACAACATCGACCCACGTTAAGACATCCCGTAGATATCGTATGGCATATAAATTAAGCGATATCTTGAAAACTCCCCTTTTCTCTTATTGCATTCCTTACATCGTCCGGTAATGAACTCACGATTTGGCTTAAGTCACCGGGCCGCGACCGGCCACAGGGACCAATTATTTCGAACGTACTTTGTCTTTTCGCGCTGGGTCGTTTTGTCAACTCGGCGATACCTCTTTTAATCGGCTTAGGCCGCAAGTTATAAATTCCATATTTTTAGCTCGTAAAATTTCAGACTTTTCTTGAACTTCGATGCCCGATTTTAAGCGGATGATGAGGCTCTGGAAAGTTCAACAGCGGTCAAAAATAAGAAATGCAAAAAAACAATCCTTCCGCATATAAAACTACGGCCTTTCTAATTTACGATGCTTTTGATTTACTGCTCAATTAAAGCACGCAGTTGCTTGATAGGATTATTATAAAAAGAAAATAGCCTATTATTGCTATATGATTTCAAGTAATTAACCATTAAACTACAAACATTATTTATTTCAGGATAAAATTGGTTATGCATCGAACAGTGCCGGAGTTGCAATCGTTAATCCGAAAACTAGTTTGACTCTTGGCGAATATGGGTTGATTCCTCTGCGAGATTGGCAAATGGTGGAAGCCCTTAGTCATTTCCATAGGTGAGCATTACAGACATTGCGAGTATATATTGTTACGAAATTGCATCGAAAACGTAGCCAGAGTTCTAGGAACTCAGTTGTTTACGGCTAAAACGCGTCTATTCTGGGAACTTCATTGTATTCGGGAAAACAAGAAGTCGAGATTTGCCTGTACGTTTCGATAAGTGTATTTTTAAAAAGTCAATTTTGTTTACTAAAGGCCGAATTTTTTCTTGAATCTTCCCTGGAATCGCAAGTTTAGAATGGACACTTGCTACTATTTGACAAGTTAGTCATGTCAATTCTAAACGTTCGAGGCTTCCTTAAGGTCTGAGAAAACCTCTAGGACCGACTATACATTCGGCCCTAAAAATTGTTACGTTTGTAAAGTGAGTTTTGATGGACCCTAACAGTATGATTTTTTTTCAGGGAACGAATTCCAGAAAGAATTGTCCATGCAAAGGGAGCTGGTGCTTTTGGATATTTCACTTGTACCAAAGATCTAAGTCAGTACACAATGTCCAAAGTGTTTGAATCAGTGGGAAAACGAACACCAATTGCATCGAGGTAAGCAATATACACTAAGTAAGTATGCTTAAGGACTACTTAGTTATTCGATTCTAAAAAATAGTAGGTACCTCTTCGTTAGAGCCACCTCTTAGAACCTCTTTTTTTTGTGTCTAAATGGTCATTCAGGACCCCTTAAACTCCACACACTAAATTATTCTGAGATTTGAAACCGAAATCTATGGAAAAAGACACTCAGAAAAATTGAAAAATTGATAAACGTACTCCAAATTGCTTAAGCGATTTTATTTTTGAAACTATGTGTGCAAAGGAGCTGAAATTTTCAGGGATTGTAGTCCTCTACTGGGATAAGAATCGCTAGAAATTTCAGCTTTCTATCTATAATAGAAAAAAAGTTATGGATCTTCAAACTTTTTGAAAATCCAAATCATAAGGTACCTAGCTACCTTAGTACTGAAACAATGAAATTTCAATTTTTTTTATGTTGAGATTTTGTGTCTAAATGATCATTCGGGACCCCTTTAACTCCAAACACTAGATTATTCTGAGATTTGAAGCCCAAATCTATGGGAAAAGTCACTCAGAAAAATTGAAAAATTGATAAATGCAGCCCAAATTGCTTAACGCGATTTTATTTTTGAAACTATGTGTCCAAAGGAGCTGAAATTTTCAGGGATTGTAGTCCTCTACTGGGATAAGAATCGCTGAAAATTTCAGCTTTCTATCTATAATAAAAAAAAAAAGTTATGGCTCTTCAAAGTTTTTAAAAATCCAGATCAAAAGGTAGCAGTACTGAAACGATGAAATTTCAATTTTTTTTATGTTGAGATTTTGTGTCTAAATGATCATTTGGGACCCCCTAAACTCCATATACACTAAATTGTTCTAAGATTTTTTATTTCTGAAACTATATGTCCAAAGGAGCTGAAATTTTCAGGGATTGTAGTCCTCTACTGGGATAAGAATCGCTGAAAATTTCAGCTTTCTATCTATTATATCGGGTCTTCAAAAAAAAAAAACCAATCGAAGATTACGAAAACGTACGTCGCATTACTGTTTCTTTATTGGTCAGGATTTTTGACATGACATTTCGACATTAAATTTCATTAACAAAATTAAAGACAAATATTGCTAATGCTAGTTTTACACTGACAATTTAAATTGATCAATTTGTTTGTCAATTTATTTGCCAATTTATGTTGGCTCAACAATGGCTCAACTTCGCTTTACACCGGATCAGCTTCTTGACAACACAAATGACAATAAACAATTCTACCAACTCAACCAGAATTTCAAGGTTATGTATTTTTATTTATGGCTCACCCAGAAATATATTTGAAGATGTTTAATAATAAAACTAGAAGAAACTGAAGGTAGAAGAATGAAATGAACATCAACAAGTAAATGATAGATAAAAATAAATATCCTCACCTAGCTTTAATATTTTTAAAGAGTCATTTCTAGGTTGAAATCCTGAATTGACACAAAAATTGACGGAAAAATAGAACATGCGCTAATCCGTCAATAAATTGAGTGAGAACTTGAACAAGTTAAATTGCCGCCAATTTGGCGTTTTACATTATCAATATTTCTTGACAAGCGACTTGATCAATAAATTGTCAATAGTAATATAACTAGTGCAATGGAAATTATTGATAATTTTTGGGAAATTTGCCTGAATGCATTTTTAGTTGAAAAAGAGCACGAGTGCCTTTTTCAGTTAAAAACGCATGAGTGCAAATTTTTCGAAAATTATAAATATATTTCCATTGCACGAGTTGTATTTAATGAGAGAATTTCATGAATCAAAAATTTTAATTTTTTGTCAAAAAATGTCAAAACACCAGTTTTCGCACCAGTTAGTATGCAATTATCTGATAATTTGCATTAGTGCAAATTATCGCGTAATTACAATCTGATTGGTTCAAATCAACAATCAAAACATGTCAATTTATTGTTGGAATACCAGTTTTGACAGATGTATGAAATTCTCAGTGTAAAACCGTCTTTTGACATACGTTTAAAAAACCATAGCAATCTTTGATTGGTTTTTTTTTGAAGACCCGATAGAAAAAAAGTTATGGCTCTTCAAAGCAGGGGGTAAACCACCTAGGAATTATTGTCACTAGACTGGAGAAATATGTGGAAATACGGGGAAATACATTTGCAATCTGGGAAAATGTAGGGTATTATGAGGAAATATCGAGGTATTATTAGGCGATATCGGGGTATTATTAGGAAATATCGAGGTATCATTAGGAAATATCGAGGTATTATTAGGAAATATCAAGGTATTATTAGGAAATATCGGGGAATAATTAGCGCATGTAACGTTACGAGCGCACTCGAACATTCACGATGTCACTCGTCTTGGCAGTTTTGTAATTATAAATAAACTTCAGTATTCGTAAATAACTCGGTAAATAAACTCTAAATCCTGATTCAAAAACTCCACCGTTCGTCGTTTCCTTTTCGAACCGCATCGTTTCTTCTTGGTAAACTTTCAACTCCACCGTTCATCATATGTTTAGTAGCCAATCAAATTAGACAATTTTTGCCATGTAGTCATGTGGTACAAAATAAAAATTTTGGGTTATGATGTGTTTCCAACAAATTATATTATTATTATATGTATTGTGGACGTATATGAATAAAAACTTTATTAACTATAATTTTAAAGAAAAACAAAAACCAAGAAAATAACACACAATTCATTAATCGGGTATTTTATTGCTTGCATTAGTTGCTGTTTCCGCTGAAAAAATGTATACCTACATGTTTATGTTGATTTTTCTTGTTTTCTGTCTGCTATACATATTGAATAATTATTAATTATTAAAATAATTAAGAAAAATCAACCTAAATACGTATAAAGTTTGTCAGCGGGAACGGCAACAATGTAGAGTTTATAAATACCTCACAACAGATGACACTAACAGCCACAATGAATAGAAATTTAAACCTTTGTACTTTCAGAATTTTCTCTATTCTAGTTTGTTCCTCAGAGATAACGGTTTATACTTATTCACGCTGAAATGAAAAAGTTTTTCTGGAGCCGGTCCTGTTCTTCTTGTTTTTCCTCGATCTTCGATTTTTTTGTTGTAAAAATGCTCTCTTTCTGTCTTTCAGCTTTTTGTTGTAAAAGTGCTTCAAGCAGTTCCAGCCGAATCTGTTCTCCTTGTTTTTCTCTCCGTCTTTGAACTTCTTCTTCCAGTCTTTCCTTTTGTCTTCAGTCTTTCTCTTGTCGACCATATTTTTCATGAAGTCTGACAAGATTTGACCAACCCATAGGACCAACCTGCTCCATTTCAGATGCCGTCGGTTCGGCTGTCATATATTCACCATAGATTATCTTGTGTCTTTCTTGGAACTTGATTTTGAATCTAGAGTTCTGTGATGAAGTGAATTTTTAAAATAGAACACAATGGAATATTCTAGAAAAACCACTATGTAGACTTGTTTTTTGATATCGAAATCAGTAATGAAGTCACTATTCTTGTATGAGTCACAGTTTTCAAATAGAATTATATGGAAGTTTCTAATATTTTCCAGAAAATCTGCTTTTGAGCTTGTTCAAGATGTTGAAGATTCACTATTCTTGTATCACTTAGGCTGAAGACACAATGACAAATACAAGGTACAGGGTGAGTTACCATATTTTGACACCACATAACGGCCGCATTATTACAGGTGATAGAATGCCCTTTATTTTCTTCCAAATTCTTAAAGTTCTCGTTTTTCTGATGCAGATTATAATATATGTAAATGTTTCTTTCAATAGTTTTGGAAATATCTGGAGTTTAGTTATTCAAAGACAGTAGTTTTTCGGATATATTTTACCTTGATTTACCTGTCACCACAAAACATTCTGATACGTGAATAGTTCTTTGAATAATTAAACTCCAAATATTTCCAAAACTATTGAAAGAAACATTAGTACGTATATTATGTAATCTGAATCAGAAAAACGAGTACTTTAAGAATTTGGAAGAAAATAAAGTGTAAAATAAATACACAGATGTAATACGGGCATAATTCAAAATTCTGGTGGTTCAGATAAAATGCTACAACTTATGTATTTACACCTTCCACCTATCACCTGTAATTACGGCTGCAGGTGGGTGTCAAAATATAGTGACTCACCCTGTACAAGTGACAAGGTACAAAATACCAAAAATTCGAAATTTTATATCAAGTGGCAAGTAAATTGTATCCTGTATCCCTTTATTTTGGGTTATAGTATTGATACAAATTATTGTTATTATATTTTTGTCTCTTGTACAAATTTGTTATTATGTCTTCAGTCTAATGGTTTCCAAATAGAATTCTATAGAAGATTCTAGAATTTTCAAGATAATCCTCGAGAAAATCCACTTCTGAGCTAGTTTTTCGATGTCGAAGCTACTAATAAAGTCAAATCAAATCATTTTTGGTGACAATTACACAAGAGTGCTTACACAAGTGACTAATCTTGTATTACTTACAGTTCCCAAAGAGAATTCTATAGACATTCATAGAATTTTCCAGAAAATCCATTTGTGAGCTTGTTTTAAGATGTCAAATCCAGTAATAAAGTCATGTTTCATTTCAATAAAAGGTCACTGATTGTTCCCCCTCTATTTAGCTCTCGAATTGAATAAAAAGACGCGCGTTTCGACGTAAACAATTCGCTTTCTCAGAATTCTCGCCAGATTGTCGATGTATCTTCGTAACAATAATTAAAGAAATATTGGCGAATTATCAGAAATTACGGAAGAATTATGTTATACAGGGTGAGTTACTAAGCGCGTGGTCGTCCATATCTCCTATACTAACGGAGATCGAATGACATTTCTGGATTCTGCGGAAAATTCTAGACATATCTCATGTACAATATCATATACCTACCTTTAACTGTTTTGGAAATATTGACAGTTGAAAATTGACTTTTTTGCATCTTTGACAGACTGTGAAACCTAAAGGGTTAATTTTAGAGGAAAACAGATTTTACATTCCTATCGTAGATTTTCATAAGCTATCATTTGACACCCACTTTGAATTTAATCGAAGATTAATAATTTAGGCGGAACTTTTAATCATGGATTGGTGTCAAATGATAGCTTATGAAAATCTAAGATGGGAATGTAAAATCCGTTTTCCTCTAAAATTAACCGTTTAGGTTTCGCAGTCTGTCAAAGATGCAAAAAAGTCAATTTTCAACTGTCAATATTTCCGAAACAGTTGAAGATAGGTATATGAAATTGTACATGAAATAGGTCTAGAATTTTCCGCAGAATCCAGAAATATCATAATATATAGGAAGAGTCATTTTAAAAAACATAACTGTATCACTACTGATTATTGGGCTACCCTGTATACTGGAAAATAATTTATGAATATAGTACTCATGTTTATCTACAAGTTTTGTATTTAATTTTTTCTTCGATATTCGTTAGTATAGGAGATATGGACCACCGCGCGCGTAACTCACCCTGTATATTAGGGAATTCGCGGAAATATAAGGTAATTATAAGGCATTAGGGGAAATTATGAGGCAATATCAGGAATTACTGGAAAATATAGAAAGAAAAGGCAATTTTCGGGAAATAATTCCCCCGAAGGGTATTATTTGTCAAAAATCTTAGGAGTTGTTTACCCCTTGCTTCAAAGTTATTAAAAATCCAAATCATAAGGCTACCTTAGTACTGAAACGATGAAATTTCAATTTTTTTTTTTATGTTGAGATTATGTGTCTCAATGATCATTCGGGACCCCCCAAACTCCATACACCAAATTATTCTCAGATTTGAAGCCGAAATCTATGGAAAAACACACTCAGAAAAATTGAAAAATTGCAAAATTTACACCAAATTGCTTAACGCGATTTTATTTCTGAAACTATATGTCCAAAGGAGCTGAAATTTACAGGGATTATAGTCCTCTACTGGAATAAGAATTGCCGAAAATTTCAGCTTTCTATCTATAATAGAAGAAAAGTTAGGACTCCTCAAAGTTTTTAAAAATCCGAAAAATAAGGTAGCTTTTAGCTACCTTATACTGAAACGATGAAATTTCAAATTTTTTTATGTTGAGTTTTTGTATCTAAATGATCATTCGGGACCCCTCAAACTCTATTTACTAAATTATTCTGAGATTTGAAACCCAAATCTATGGAAAAAGTCACTAAGAAAAATTGAAAAACTGATAAATTCACCACAAATTGCGTAACGCGATTTAAGTTCTGAAACTATATGTCCAAAAGAGCTGAAATTTACAGGGATTGTAGCTACCTTAGTACTGAAACGATGAAATTTCAATTTTTTTTATGTTGAGATTTTGTGTCGAAATGATCATTCGGGACCCCTCAAACTCCATACACTAAATTATTCTGAGATTTGAAACCCAAATCTATGGAAAAAGTCACTCAAAAACATTGAAAAATTGATAAATTCGCCCCAAATTGCTTAACGCAATTTTATTTTTGAAACTATGTGTCCAAAGGAGCTGAAATTTTCAGGTATTGTAGTCCTCTACTGGGGTAAGAATAACTAAAATTTTCAGCTTTCTATCTGTAATAGAAAAAAGTTATGAGTCCTCAAAATTTTCAAAAATCCAAATCATAAGGTACTGATCAGAGAGCATCAAGCTTTTGAATCTTCTTTGGCAATCTTGCAATTGAAACCCCATAATTCTCCTCAAATCATTCTAAATTACCTAGTTTGATCTTCTAGTCTAGTGTCCCAATTCTAAATATAACTTTCACTGTAAGTAAAACAAGCCTAAGAACCAAATTTCCCTTTCATTTTAATTTTAAATATGCAACACCAAAAACAAAAAAACAAAAAAAAAAACATGCACTCACATAATTCCGGCTAGACTTGTGGTATTTAAAACCAGATATTACTATGTATTATTTCAAATATATTCCTGCCAATGCAATGAAAATATTATTAATAATACGATATGCGGTAATTTCGAATATTTAACCAAACAGCAACTTGAAATTCCCCAAAAAATTTTATGGGCGGCCAAAATAAAAACGGCATCGAGCGAATATAAAATTTCCGATCGCTGTAAGTCTATATACAAGGCCTTTGGATTCCATATAAAAGCCCATTAATTAGGCTTCGATTTGACAGGTTACAGGATACCCGAATTCCATAACTTAATTTATTAAAAAGCTGGGGAGAACAAGATTTTTACATTCCGGACCCTAATTTTGCACCTGTTATTTAGTCACGAAAAGTGGTCCCGATAATTAATTGGCGGAATTAGTTCGATTACTTAAAGGTTTATAATTTTAAAAAAATATTCATAAAGTCAAAGACCTGGAATGGTAGTTTTAATGTCTCAATTATTTTTTTTTCTTCAGATTTTCTTCAGTGGCTGGTAATTTGGGATCAGCTGATACTGTTAGAGATCCTCGAGGTATGATGATATTTATTTTCTTCTGTATTTAGATAAAAATGTTATCATTTCAAAACCAAATTTTTTGGTATTTTTTAAAATTCATTGTAAATTTGCAGCAACTCAATGCATTTGATTTATTAAATAACTATTTCAATAGGTTTTTCTTTAAAATTCTACACTGAAGAAGGCATATGGGACTTGGTGGGTAACAACACGCCAATATTCTTCATGCGCGATCCCATTTTGTTTCCAATGTTTATTCATAGCCAAAAAAGAAATCCTGTTACCAATGTGAGGGATTGGGATGCTTTTTGGGACTGGATATCGTTGAACCCGATGAGTGTTCATCAGGTAAATTCAATGCAAAATATTTAACATTCTATTTGTAAAATTATAGGTAATGTTTCTATTTTCCGACCGCGGAATACCCAGAGGACACAGACACCAACACGGTTTTGGATCGCACACCTTTTCTCTTATTAACAAAGATAGAAAATTGACTTGGTGTAAGTTTATATATAAAACTGATCAAGGTAAGTAATCTTATAATTTTTTTTTATTATCTTAACTGAACGTGTATTTTAAAAGGAGTCGAGAACTTTGAGGACCCAGAAGAAGCTGATAGAGTTGCCGGCAAAGAGCCAGATTTTGCAGTCAAAGACTTGTACAATGCAATTGCCGAAAAAAACTATCCTTCGTGGACTTTTTACATTCAAGTGATGACACCAGAACAAGCCAAGAATCAACCGTTCAATCCGTTCGATATTACGAAGGTAGCAATATTAAAAATTAAGACCATTCATTGGAAAATTTATTTTAGGTTTGGCCCCACAAAAATTTTCCTCTGATTAAAGTGGGCAAGTTTGTGCTCAATCGCAACCCTAGCAATTACTTCGCCGAAGTGGAACAGCTGGCATTCAGTCCTAACAACTTGACTCCTGGAATAGGCGATTCCCCGGACCGACTTCTACAAGGAAGATTGTATTCCTATCAAGATGCTCATCGTTATCGTCTTGGGGTTAATTTCCAACAATTACCTGTTAATCGACCAGTAAACCCAACTGTAAGTGGTATTCAAGATATTAGGTATGAATCGTTGGTTTACTGAGACAATGTAACCAACAAGACAAAAATGGAAATTCCAACAACTTGAAACAATGCTTTACTTTTCAAGTCAACTCTATATTTTCAACAATTATGACAAACTGACTATACGAAATGACAACACTTCAAACTCTACCTTTACCAGTTATATGGTAAAGGTAAAAGTTACAAAAATACCGGATGCTGAAGACATAACAATGACAAAGATATCAAATTTGGTGACAGAATCTCTCCTTTTCCTGGTCCTTCCAAAACCTATGATAATAGTTTCTGAAACTTCTTTCCAAGGGGTAAACCACCATCCCAGAACTGGTGCAAACAATTTCTCAAAGGGGAATTTTTTACGCATAATTCCTCAAAATTCCTGCAAATTCCTCCAAATTCCTCCAGATACTCCATCACAAATTCCTCCAAATACCCTACCACGAACTTCTCCAAATACCCCACAAATTCCTCTGAAAAAAAAAAGACAATTTCGAAACTTTTTGCATGTAAAGAGGAAGGTGAGAAACTTATTTTCTCAAAATTTCAAATTTTTCCAGTGGAAAACAACAACATGACGAATATTGGAAATCAACTTACAATAACTGAATTAATTGAAGATACAGTCTCACATATTTCAAAGTTTTCCTGGAAAACTAGTGAAGGGAAAATTTTTATACTTTTTGCATGTAAAGATGAGGGTGACAAGCTCATTTTCCCAAAATTTGAAATTTTTCCAGTGGAAAACAGCAACATGAGGAATATTAGAAATCAACTTACAATAACTAAATTAGTTGAAAATATGGTCTCACACATTTCAAAGTTTCCCTACAAAACTAGTAAAGAGAAAATTTTGAAACTTTTTGCATGTAAAGAGGAAGGTGAGAAGCTCATTTTCCCGAAATTTCAAATTTTTCCAAGAGAAAATTACAACATGAGGAATCTTGGAAATCAACCTACAATAACTGAATTAGTTGAAAATACAGTCTCACATATTTCAAAGTTTTCCTGGAAAACTAGAAAAGGGAAAATTTTGAAACTTTTTGCATGTAAAGAGAAAAGTTAGAAGCTCATTTTCCCAGAATTTCAAATTTCTCCAGTAAAAAATTACAACATGAGGAATCTTGGAAATCAACCTACAATAACTGAATTAGTTGAAAATACAGTCTCACATATTTCAAAGTTTTCTAGAAAACTAGAACAGAGAAAATTGTGAAACTTTTTGCATGTAAAGAGGAAGGTGAGAACATCATTGTCCCAAAATTTCAAATTTGTCCAGTGGAAAACAGCAACATGAAAAATCTTGAAAATCAACCTACAAAAACTGAATTAGTTGAAAATACAGTCTCACAAAAAGGGAGAAATGTGAAACTTTTTGCATGTAAAGAGAAAGGTTAGAAGCTCATTTTCCCAGAACTTCAAATTTTTCCAGTGAAAAATTATAACATGAGGAATCTTGGAAATCAACCTACAATAACTGAATTAGTTGAAAATACAGTCTCACATATTTCAAAGTTTTCCTAGAAAACCAGAAGAGAGAAAATTTTGAAACTTTTTGCATGTAAAGAGGAAGGTGAGAACATCATTTTCCCAAAATTTTAAATTTGTTCAGTGGAAAACAGCAACATGAAAAATCTTGAAAATCAACCTACAAAAACTGAATTAGTTGAAAATACAGTCTCACACATTTCAAAGTTTTCCTGGAAAACTACTGAAGGGAGAAATTTGAAACTTTTTGCATGTAAAGAGAAAGGTTAGAAGCTCATTTTCCCAGAATTTCAAATTTCTCCAGTGAAAAATTACATGAGGAATCTTGGAAATCTACCTACAAAAACTGAATTAGTTGAAAATACAGTCTCACATTTCAAAGTTATCCTGGAAAACTAGTGAAGGGAGAAATTTGAACCTTTTTGCATGTAAAGAGAAAGGTTAGATGCTCATTTTCCCAGAATTTCAAATTTCTCCAGTACAAAATTTCAACATGAAGAATCTTGGAAATCAACCTACAATAACTGAATTAGTTGAAAATACATGCAGTCTCACATATTTCAAAGTTTTCCTAGAAAACTAGATAAGAGAAAATTTTGAAACTTTTTGCATGTAAAGAGGAAGGTGAGAACATCATTTTCCCAAAATTTCAAATTTGTCCAGTGGAAAACAGCAACATGAAAAATCTTGAAAATCAACCTACAAAAACTGAATTAATTGAAAATACAGTCTCACACATTTCAAAGTTTTCCTGGAAAACTACTGAAGGGAGAAATTTGAAACTTTTTGCATGTAAAGAGACAGGTTAGAAGCTCATTTTCCCAGAATTTCAAATTTCTCCAGTGAAAAATTACAACATGAGGAATCTTGGAAATCTACCTACAAAAACTGAATTAGTTGAAAATACAGTCTCACACATTTCAAAGTATTCCTGGAAAACTACTGAAGGGAGAAATTTGAAACTTTTTGCATGTGAAGAGAAAGGTTAGAAGCTCATTTTCCCAGAATTTCAAATTTCTCCAGTAAAAAATTACAACACGAGGAATCTTGGAAATCAACCTACAATAACTGAATTAGTTAAAAATACAATCTCACATATTTCAAAGTTTTCCTGGAAAACTAGAAAAGGGAAAAATTTGAAACTTTTTGCATGTAAAGAGAAAGGTTAGAATCTCATTGTCCCAGAATTTCAAATTTCTCCAGTGAAAAATTACAACATGAGGAATCTTGGAAATCAACCTACAAAAACTGAACTAGTTGAAAATATAGTCGCACACTTTTCGAAGTTTTCCTGGAAAACTACTGAAGGGAGAAATTTGAAAATTTTTGCATGTAAAGAGAAAGGTCTGAAGCTCATTTGCCCAGAATTTCAAATTTCTCCAGTAAAAAATTACATGAGGAATCTTGGAAATAACCTACAATAACTGAATTAGTTGAAAATACAGTCTCACATATTTCGAAGTTTTCCTGGAAAACTAGAAAAGGTCAAATTTCAAAACTTTTTGCATGTAAAGAGGAAGGTGACAACATCATTTTCCCAAAATTTCAAATTTTTCCAGTGGAAAACAGCAACATGAAAAATCTTGGATATCAACCTACAAAAACTGAATTTGTTGAAAATACAGTCTCACACATTTCAAAGTTTTCCTGGAAAACTACTGAAGGGAAAATTTTGAAATTTTTTGCATGTAAAGAGGAAGGTGAGAAGCTCGCTTTTCCCCAAAATTTCGAGTTTTTTCAGTTGAAAATAACAACATGAAAAATCTTGGAAATCTGCCTACAAAAACTGTATTCATTATCTTTGGATTTTTTAAATTTGACAATTTCCTCTAAATTCCTCATAAATTCCTCACAAATTCTCCTAAATTCCCCATAAATTCCTCCAAATTCCCTATAAATTCCCCAAATTCTCATAAATTTGGATGAGTTCCTTCAAATTCCCCACAAATTCCTCTAAATTCCCCACATTTTTGGCAAAGAATTCCTAGGTGGTTTGCCCCTTGCTTCTTTCATATCTAAGGAAGCGCTAATAGGCTTTTTATTTTTGTTAGCAGCTTCTGGTATTGAGAGTCTCTTCCTAAACTTTTGGTAACGGTTCTTGTAGCCTCTCTGTATTAATTGTGCGCATGGTTGTGTTATCGAATCTTGAGGCTCTTTTCAAACTGGTTCTTTCTAAGCTCTTGATAATGAAAGCTTCTGTATTGATTATTGAGGCTCTTTTTCTCAAGTTTCTAGTAATGATTATTAATCTTGTTTATTCGATTCCTTAGGGTTGCTTTACTCGCGTCTTCCCAAACATCTTTTATAAATTCATGACGCTTCTTCATTTCCAAATGACACCTCAGTTCTAGCTATTGGGTTACTTCAGGTTCCAATACGTCCATTTGGTTTCTTTTAATGTAATAAGTACCTACAACAATTTCCAAAATTCCAGTCATAGTATAATAAATAATTTCAGAACAACTTTCAACGTGATGGCACCATGTGCTACTTCAACCAAGGAGGAGCCCCAAATTACTATCCCAACAGTTTTGGAGGACCTCAGCCCGATCCAGATGCCGCTACTTGGACACCACCTCCTCAACGTTTCGAAGGATATGAAGATTATTACCCTCAGATTTACGATGAAAACAATTACTCGCAGCCAAGAGTTTTTTGGGAGAAAGTTTTGGATGATCGTGCCAAAACAAGATTGGTGAGTAGCAAGACCACTAAAACTATAGATCTAAGCACTGATATTTTGTAGGTCAATAACTTAGTTGGAGCTATTAAGCTAGCTAACAAAGGAATCCAGGAAAAAACAGTTGATATGTTCAAAAATGTGAGTGATGACTTGGGTGCTAGATTGAAAAGCAAACTTCTTGGAAGTACCAGAGTTGTGCAACTATAAGCTCAAGTTATTCATTTATCAAATATATAATTATTATTTTATTGGAAATATATAACTACTTACTGTATCCTAACAAATATGTATTTTCTTTACATTTTGGTAATGAAATCATGACTCAAATTACGTTGTTGCGGCAAATGAACACAACGACAAAAGTCATAATTAAAACGTAATTAAAAGCAATTACATACTAAAGTTCTACCAACGAGAGCGGAAATTAACAAGCTACGTAGTTTTGTGGTTAAGATGCACTTTAATGGAAAGAAAATAAAGTCAGGTGGAAATATTTCTGTTTGATGAATAACTATACTACAACAAAAGCAAGATTTTTTTTCTTGCTCTGAAAGATTTGCACACTCTTATTTATACAAAACACCATCGGGCTCTCAACTGCAGAAAAGTTACCATCAAACGTGCCATACAAAAACCTTTTTCTTGCTTTCAAGAACACCGACAAAAATCAGATAGCACCTCTGCCGCGTTGTCGTCGTCTCTTTCCCATTGTATGTGATTCGGTTTTTTAATTCCTTTTTTATTTTCTCATTTCTATTCCATTTTTGGACATTTGCGGGTTGTTGTTCGGCCAAGGACAATTCAATACTGATGGAAATGAAGTGGACAATAATTGAGATTGTGCTTCTAATTTCAACAAAAACACTCCTAATGTCTTTGTCAATATTTTCCAAAAGCTATATGAAAAACGGAGATGCCCTACCCTGCAATCGATCTTAATTGGAGGCAAGTCGACTGAAAGGCCATCAGACTGATGGTCACCGGTCCATTTCCTTTGGCAATATCCTGTGTTTTTGTGCGTTAGGGTTCCCATATAGACGTGATTACGACACCGAATAGGAAATTTGAGGTTAATGACGATCCAAATTAGATTGGATTTGGATAGAGACTGGTTTTAATAGAAATTTAATTCAGATAGGGTTGGCACAATGTGAGAAGATTAACAGTTACAAGTAAAAGACTTATTTCATTAATTTTCTGCAAATCCTATAAGCAGCTTATAAAATATTGAAATTCATAATTAAATGTATTCCATGTTTCCATACATAATAAATTTACAAGAAAAATCACTAAAAAAAAATTAAAAATTATAATTAGAAAATTGAGACGAAAATCAGATCTGCATTGTACAAAGAAATCCGCCTTCAGGTCGGTCAGAGCCTGAAGGAGGAATATGCATTCAAGAAATCCCAGATCGGATCTTGCTGTACGGCAAATGCTGGCGGATCCGCACGACCGTCCTGAGTCCGTTATCAGTCTTCCTGCTCGTCATCTTGACGGGCAGTAATGGCGACAGGGACGGGAAAAACAAGTAAAAAAAAAATTGAAACCACAGAGACGCGATAAGAGCCACTTAGTTTATTTAACAGATGACCGCTCTGCCCCCACGATAAGAGCATATTATAAGAAGTGGGCTGGGGTTAAACATAAATTTGCAAAACTGAAGGAAGAAGTTAATCTGTATATTAGTCAGATGTTTTAAATGTTTAATTCACAAGTACCACTTTTGAAGCTTTAACAAAAATCTAGAGTAAAAAGTCAACATAAAATACTAATTCGGTTTGAAAGAGTTCTTTTTTCTTCTCAATCTTTTATGTACCTATAGAAGTGATTTTCAAATCTCGTCAGATTAAAGCAAGGGGTAAAACAACATCCCAGAATTGGTGCAAACAATTCCTCAAATTGGAATTTTTTTTGCATAATACCTCAAAATTCCTGCAAATTCCTCCGGATACCCTATCACAAATTCCTCCAAATACCCCACCACAAACTTCTCCAAATACCCCACAAATTCCTCTAAAAAAAGGGAAAATTTTGAAACTTTCTGCATGTAAAAAGGAATTTAAAAGTTTTCCAGTGGAAAACAGCAACATGAAAAATCTTGGAAATCAACCTACACGAATTGAATTAGTTGAAAATACAGTCACACACATTTCAAAGTTTTCCTGGGAAACTAATGAAGGGAACATTTTGAAACTTTTTGCATGTAAAGGGGCAGGTGAGAAGCTCATTTTCCCAAAATTTCAAAGTTTTCCAGTGGAAAACAGCAACATGAAAAATCTTGGAACCTACAATAACTGAATTAATTGAAAATAAAGTCTCACACATTTCAAAGTTTTCCTGGAAAACTAGTGAAGGGAAAATTTTCGAAATTTTTGCATGTGAAGAAAAAGGTGAAAAGCTCATTTTCCCAAAATTTTGAATTTTTCTACTGGAAAATAACAACATGAGGAATATTGGAAATGAACCTACAATAACCGAATTAATTGAAAATACAGTCTCACATATTTCAGAGTTTTCCTGGAAAATTAGTGAAGGGAAAATTTTGAAACTTTCTGCATGTAGAGAGGAAGGTGAGACGCTCATTTTCCCAAAATTTCGAATTTTGCCAGTAGAAAACAGCAACATGAAAAATCTTGGAAGTCAACCTACAAAAACTGAATTAGTTGAAAATACAGTCTCACACATTTCAAATTTTTTCTGGAAAACTAGTGAAGGGAAAATTTTCGAAATTTTTGCATGTGAAGAAAAAGGTGAAAAGCTCATTTTCCCAAAATTTTGAATTTTTCTACTGGAAAATAACAACATGAGGAATATTGGAAATGAACCTACAATAACCGAATTAATTGAAAATACAGTCTCACATATTTCAGAGTTTTCCTGGAAAATTAGTGAAGGGAAAATTTTGAAACTTTCTGCATGTAGAGAGGAAGGTGAGACGCTCATTTTCCCAAAATTTCGAATTTTGCCAGTAGAAAACAGCAACATGAAAAATCTTGGAAGTCAACCTACAAAAACTGAATTAGTTGAAAATACAGTCTCACACATTTCAAAATTTTCCTGGAAAACTAGTGAAGGGAAATTTTTGAAACTTTTCGCATGTTAAGAGGAAGGTGAGAAGCTCATTTTCCCAAAATTTTCCAGTGGAAAATAGCAACATAAAAAATCTTGGAAATCAACCTACAATAACTGAATTAATTGAAAATACAGTCTCACATATTTCAGAGTCTTCCTGGAAAACTAGTGAAGGAAAATTTTGGAATTTTTTGCATGTAAAGAGGAAGGCGAGACACTCATTTTTCCAAAATTTCAAATTTTTCCACTAGAAAACAGCAACATGAAAAATCTTGGAAGTCAACCTACAAAAACTGAATTAGTTGAAAATACAGTCTCACACATTTCAAAGTTTTCCTAGAAAACTAGTAATCGAAAATTTTTGAAACTTTTTGCATGTAAAGAAGAAGGTGAGAAGCTCATTTTCCCAAAGTTTCAGATTTTTCCAGTGGAAAATAACAACATGAGGAATATTGGAAATCAACCTACAATATATTGTAGATTGTCGATTGCGGGGGAGTCGTTTCGGCTTTTCAGCCGCTCAGCACTGCTACTTTTGCAGATATTTTGTACGTGACACCTAGAATAACTGAATTAATTGAAAATACAGTATCACATATTCAATAGTGAAGGCAAAAATTTAAAACTTTTTGCATGTGAAGAGTAGAAAGGTTGAAGGCTCATTTACCCAAAATTTCAAATTTTTCCAGTGGAAAATTACATGAGGAATCTTGGAAATCAACCTACAATAACTGAATTAATTGAAATACAGTCTCACATATTTCAAAGTTTTCCTGGAGAACTAGTGAAGGAAAATTTTGAAACTTTCTGCATGTAAAGAGGAAGCTGAGAAACTCATTATCCAAAACTTCAAATTTTTCCAGTAGAAAACAGCAACATGAAAAATCTTGGAAATCAACCTACAATAACTGAATTAATTGAAAATAAAGTCTCACATATTTCAAAGTTTTCCTGGAAAACTAGTGAAGGGAGAAATTTGAAACTTTTTGCATGTAAAGAGAAAGGTTAGAAGCTCATTTTCCCAGAATTTCAAATTTTTCTAGTAGAAAATTACAACATGAGGAACCTTGGAAATTAACCTACAATAACTAAACGAATTGAAAATACAGTCTCACATAAGTATTTCAAAGTTTTCTTTAAAAACTAGTAAAGGAAAAATTTTGAAACTCTTTGTAAAGACTGTAAAGAGGAAGGTGAGAAGCTCATTTTCCCAAAATTTAAAATTTTTCCAGTGAAAAACAGTAACACGAAAAATCTTGGAAATCAACTTACAAAAACTGAATTAGTTGAAAATACACTCTCACACATTTCAAAGTTTGCCTGGAAAACTAGTAAAGAGAAAATTTTGAAACTGTTTGCATGTAAAGAGGAAAGTGAGAAGCTCATTTTCCCAAAGTTTCAAATTTTTCCAGTGAAAAACAATAACATGAAAAATCTTGGAAATCAACCTACAAAAACTGAATTAGTTGAAAATACAGTCTCACACATTTTAAAGTTTTCCTGGAAAACTAGTGAAGGGAAAATTTTGAAACTTTTTGCATGAAAAGAGGTATGTGAGAAACTCATTTTCCCAAAATTTCACATTTTTTCAGTGGAAAATAACAACATGAAAAATCTTGGAAATCCGCCTACAAAAACTGTATTCATTATTCTTTTGAATTTTTTAAATTTGACAATTTCCTTTAAATTCCTTATAAATTCCTCACAAATTCCTCCAAATTCTCATAAATTCGGATGAGTTTCTTTAAATTCCCCACAAATTCCTCTAAATTTTCCACAAATTCCTCTAAATTCTCCACATTTTTGGCAAAGAATTCCTTGATTGTATCTATAGAAGTAATTTTCAAATCTCGTCAGATTAAAGATTTATATGTTGTATTGTATGGTCCTTAGAGGTCAGGAATAACATGTTTTCGTCCACCTGTCTGCCTATTGGCGTTTTAAATTCAATAACAGCTTGACTGGGGTCAAAGATTTTTCCCATAAATATTGAGCCTCCCACCTGCTTAGCATATGAATGTCTGCTGGATGAAAAATAAAAAATGGATATGTTGGAACAAAAATACAAAATTGGCGGCTTTAAATCTTAAAAAAGGCACTTGCCTCATGACATTTACCTGAACTGTTTAAGAGCTGCCTATCAAATACACTTCGAAGGGTAAAGTTGAATAAAATATGGAGGAGAAGCAGTAAATTGATATACAGATT